GTCCCCCGGCAGCCCCTCCTCAGACTTTAATCTCTGTTGTTATATCCTCAGCTAATTATTTTTAGTAATGGCCATTTTGGATCATAGCAGGTCCCTTCCCGAGGGGTGGGGATATGTCTCCATAACTGCGATTCCGAGCATGTATCAGTTCGTGTCCCGCACACCTATCCCATGAACAAGACTGTCAAATCCTCTCTTTGTTTTCCCTTTACCCCCCTTCTATCTTCCAGTGGTCACAACGTTCTTTTTTTCCCTCTTTCATAAAAGGCCCGAAAAAAACGAGCTGTTTTTCTGATTCTGTCAAAATTTGCCTTGGGGTTTTCCCGCTTCTTTCAAAACCTCTTGGTTTGCTCTTTTTCTGCCCAAAATGTATTGAAGATTTTTCTTAAAAACCACATCCTGAGCCTCAAAAAAATTTTGTTGGGCCCTGCCTATGATTTTTCAGGATCACAGCAGTGTTAAAAGGTAAATGTAGAAGAAAAGAATTTTTTTTCTAACTTCATACAAGGTACATGCAAAGATTTTTTTTCCTTTTAAAAATGCATTTTTTGTCGTCTTTTCGTTTTTTACTCTTTTAGCATTTTCCCAGATTTATCCTGTATAACCAGGTCTAAGGCCCCCAATCAAATTCGTCACCGATAAGAACGTCGAAGCAGAATCAGACAAAATTTCCCAAAAAGTAAAGAAAAAAACCGAATTTTTCCCCGAATTTTTACAGCAGGTAACCAAAAAAGCAGAGATATACATTTTTTTTTTTTTTTTATTTTTATAACTTAGTTGATAATCAAAAACGTTCCCCTTTTTGTATTCCCAACAGAAGAACCGGGCCAAAAATGCGGAAATCAAATAACGGTACCCCGAAGCTGCCAGTAAAAAAAACTTTCATCGACCGAGGGCAAAACATTGCACATTGTCAGTGGAAATTGGGGAGCTTTCCCCACAATCGTCGAAGGTCATACTTTTTGAGGTGTATCAGTACGCTTCCGGGGCTTGGGGGATGCAAAGGGAATTCAAAGTCGTTGGAATCAGCTCCCAAAAACGACGACGCGGCACCCTATGGTAAAAATTTTTTGTCTCTTTGCGTGTTTTTATGTTGTTGTTTTTATCGATCCGTGGCGCTGAGTTTTTCCCTTTGGCCCGGCCCTGTGTGGAAATTTTTGGTTTTTACAAACTGTTTTTTTCCTTCGTAAATGTGTTCCCCCTTGTTGGTCCGAAGGGAGAGCATTCTTTAGTCTCGCTGAGTTTTCGGGACTAAAAGAGTGAGGTGACATTTGTAGGGGTGTTACAAGCTGGGACCTTGGGGAGTGTTGTGGTGTTTTGTTAGGGTCCCTTGGGGGGTATTGCTTTTAAATTGAGAGGTGGCCTGGGCCTTTTTTGTTAGAGGTTAGTTTTCTTAGGGTCAAGGGGCCAGCAATGTTTAAACCCCTTTTTTCCCGGCCCCTCTTTTCCCAAGTCTCTTGTTAATGTTTATAAGTGTTTTTTTTTGGGCTGGGGTTGTCGTTAGGTGGTTTTTCTGTGTTTCTCCTTTTTTTTGCCCCTCATCATCTTCATTCCCGGGTGCTGGAGTGGCCTGGGAAACAAAAGCTCACTATTTGATGTTTTAGGGTAAAAAGGGCAGCATCCGGATTACTTTGGGTATTCATTTTGCAAGGTACGCCCTCCGGCTTTAAAGGGGACTTGTCTGTGAAAATGACAACTTTTGGGCCTTTGAAGGGTAAAACTTACGCTTTGGGGTTACTCTGTTCGGTGAAAATTTTTTCGGCTTTATAATTTTAGAAAACGGGAACATTTCTCAAAGATGTGCAAGCAGAAATAATATAAGCAACACCTATACCAAAGGAAAGCAAAATATTGACTGGTATAAATGGAATATATTTAAACCCAAACATAAGATAGTTTATTCTCCAAAAAAAAGGGGGCCGATGGGAATAAGAACTCCGGGGGCCCTCCCAAACAAAATAGACTATGAAAACNTTTCCCTTTTTCTTTTCTTTTTTTCCTTTTTCTTTTTTTTCCCCCTTTTTTTTTTTTCCTTTTCTTTTTTTTTCCCCGTTTTTCCCCCCTTTTTTTTTTTTTTTTTTTTTTCCTTTTTTCTTTTTTTTTTTTTTTTTAAAAAAATTCTTTTTTTTTTTTTTCCCCCCCCTTTTCCCTTTTTTTTTCTTTTTTTTCCTCTTTTCCCCCCTTTTCCCTTTTTTTTTCCCTTTTTCCCCCCTTTTTTTCTTTTTTTTTCTTCTTTTCTTTCTTCCTTTTTTCCTTTCTTCCCCTTTCCTTCTTTTCTTTTCTTCTTTTTTCCTTTTCCCCCCCTTTTCTTTTTTTTCTTTTTTTTTCTTTTTCTTTCTTTTTTTTCCCTTTTTTCCCCCCCTTTTTTTTTTTTTTTTTTTTTTTTTTTCTTTTTTTCCCCTTTTTTTTTTTTTTTTTTTTTTTTTTTTCCCCAGATGGGGTTCAGGTTTGTTAATTTTCCCTGATGGTGTCGCATCTTTTCTTGTCACACTAGCAACCCTCCTCAGACATTTGATCTCTGTTGTTACTATCCTCAGCTCATTAGTTTTAGTAATGGCCCATGTTTGGCACTCATCATCAGGTGCCTAGCCGACTGGCGTGTGAGATCATGCCTCTCCATAATCTGCAATCTCCTGCAGCATGTATCAGTTCGTGTGCCGACATACCTCCATGCCATGCAACAAGACTGTCAAGCATCTTCTCTCGTTGTCTTCCTCTATCCCTCCTTCCTCAGATCTTTCCAGTGGTCACAACATGTTCTATTTTCCCTCTTCTCATAACATGGCCGAAAAACGATGACTGTCTCTTTCTGATATCTGTCATCAGTTGCCTTCGGGCTTCCACCTCTTTCAAAACCTCTTGGTTGCTATTTTTGGCTGTCCAATGTATTCTAAGTATTCTTCTGTAAAACCACATCTCTGAGTCCTCTAGAAATTGTTTGGCCTGCCTACCGATTGTCCAGGATTCACAGCCATATGTTAAAACTGGATGAATGTAGCAAGCAAGAATTCTTTTTCTAACTCTCAATGACAAGGATATATTGCACAAGATGTTTTTCATTTAAAAAAATGCAGTTTTTGCCTGTCCTATTCTGTTTCTTATCTCAGTTATGCATCTTCCATCTGATGTTATCCATGTGCCCAGATACTTAAATTTCTGTACTTGTCCTAAAATAATACCATCGACTTTTATTACACATTTAGGAATAATTCGTTTCTTTGATACCACCATTACTTCTGTCTTCCCGTTATTCAAACTGAGGCCTATTCTTTCACTTTCTAACACTACAATGTCTATCATTTCCTGTAGTTCTTTCTGACTTGTTGCTATCAAGACTGTGTTATCAGCATAACGTAAATTGTTTATATTGTGCCCACCAACCACAATTCCTCCAGGCATATCAATTAAAGATCTCATTATATATTTACTGTATATTGAAAACAAATCGGATGACAGTACACATCCTTGTCGTATGCCCCTTTTTATGCCTTCAAATGTACCTAAACAGTTGTTAATTCTTATAGCTGCTGTTTGCTGCCAAACATATTCTTTATTATTCGTAGATCTTTCCCATCAATGTTTAATTTTTCTAACAGTTTGATTACTTCTTCATGCTTCACCCAGTCAAATGCTTTTGTATAGTCTATGAAGCATAAGTACAAATCAGTCTTCACTTCTATAGCTCTTTCTGACAATGTCCTTAGGTTGTATATGGCATTGCTTGTACCTTTTCCTTCTACAAATCCACATTGTCCATTGCTGATTTCTGGTTTAATTTTGTTTCTTATTTTTCTCATAATTATTGTCGGTAAAATCTTAGTCATGTGACTGATAAGACTTTTTGTGCAATGGTCTTCACATATTATAGTGCCTGGTTTCTTTGGCAGAGCTTTAAATCTGGATTTTTAAAAGTCATTTGGAATATACCCACTATTATAAATATCATTTAAAAGTTTAGTTATTATTTCAATTCCGAAATTTCCGAGTGCTTCGATTTCTTCCACTGAGATATTGTCTGGCCCGGGTGCTTTTCCTTTCTTTATATGATGTATTGCATCCTCAACTTCTGCAGTCATTATTGGTGGACCATCATTGTTGGTCTGCAGTTCTGCATCTGGTCTATTATCATCATACAATTCCCCTATATACTCTGTCCATCTGTTAATTGTATTACTATGTCCCGTTGATAAGTCACCATCTGTTTGGCACTAGTAGCACTGATTCAATGAACATGCTTAAGAAGATAAGAGACGTGAGGTGTTCGAAGACAACAGTCGGAGTCTCTGAGAAAATCCTTGTCTGCAAGAAATAAGTTTCAGATGTTCTAGGACACTCTGAGGTAAAAAAAAAAAAAGAATGAACGAGAGGACTTTCTTGATGGTTGGTTCACGTTTGACACAGAAAAAGCAATGTTCCCAATTATTTCAGAGAGGCAAAACAAGCAAATGATTTAGAAGACGACAGTGAATAGGCAACTTTAACAAAAACTACAGGACTTCATATCAAAAGAGGTATCGTCAGACAGGAACTAGGTAAGATAGGCAAATAAAAATAGTATGCCAACACAGAACGGGTGTTATCAGTCCCCACACGCTGTGAGACATACTGGAAATAAGATACAAACGCTCATGGGGTTGTCTGATGCGAGATGGGGATGATCGGTCTGTTAAATAACTAAATATCTACGACGAAATAATGGATACCCGCAACCGATGCAAATACCATGGGTATCGCTGGAAGCGACTGTCTTTTCCGGCAGAAGCGGGTTGTGGGGCGGCATTATCTCCAGCAGCATTTCAACAACAACAACAACCACAACGATAACAACATCATCAAAAACTCAGAATAGAAAGGGTTTTGAACTAAATCCGCATATGTATGTTATGGCAATTCTTCTCTTATTGGGTCCGTAGCCATCAGCAGTTATACTAAAGTTTGGCCATGTTGGGTCCAAGAATAACTTGTGCCAAGCATGTTGTAATCAACTATCTGCGTACCCATAAATGCCAGTTTTTCACTTGCAGATTAAAGGACTGGGTTTTTATAACTTGTGTAAGACGAAAATGAAAACAATAACCTATTTAATCAGGCGACACTTGGTAATTATGTAGCTAAATTTGAAATCTAACACTAACTGTCGTGTGGATACTGGTCAGAATGCAGTAAGTAAAATATGAGCTAATTTTTTTTCCCTGAGTAGGCATCTATTATCATTAGTCCCCGGGCAGCACAATTTTTTTTTAGCTCGAATTTGTGATTTATCGGTCCTTTGGAATTTGTCTTAACAAGCTTTTGTTGTATAGGTTAGTTAGTAAGTCGACAGATTATCCTCAATGCACATAAACCATTTAACCCATAGGTACTCAGAACCCCTCCTCAGTAAATCCCACAGCTTGTAGTAGCTGACGACACCAGTCCTGTGTTGGTTTCATATTCTTTTGGCTTCCTGCGTAGTGCTCTTGTCTGGCCACATCCCTTTTATCCTGTTGTTCTTGCAGTTTGGTCATTGTTGCAGATTCACAGTCATCACGTGGTTCTAGGCATGTTCGTCGGCCACTGTAGCTTGACCTTCAAGCCTATGGGTTTGCTTATTTCCATGCATGCCTGTGTACCCCAACACAAATTCATATTCATAACTGATATGCGTCGGCCATGACCGCCTCAAAGACTCAAACCTTCAGGCCTAGCCCATTTCTTTTTTCCTGAGCCTACTTATTGAGTCGCAGAGAAAACATACCCAGGTAAAGGTTTGCGTCTCCAGCCATGTTGTTGCTTTGGTCACTGCCCTGACCTCCATAGTCTGACTATTTGTAGTCAAGGTAAAAGCGCCAGCATCTTGTTTCACAATTCTAACTCCACCGGAGCCGTAAAAGCCCATGAGCCTCTCACATGCCAACCCCAAGGCCATCTGTGTAAATGACAGAACCCCCCCCCCTCTCTAGAGAATTCTCGAAAATCAAGGCCTGCACTTTAACCTTCACAGGGATTGAACATTTTTGTCTGTTATTTTCTGACTAGCCGGATGCAAACAGAAAAGGTCCTACATCACTCTGTTGTATCTTGTGCCCATTCCTTACAAGGTTCTATGTCAACGAAAGAGCTCAACTGGCCAAAAATGTCATCTGACCTGCCAATCCACGATTTTCCTCTTTCTAACGTGATGCCCTTCTCTTTCTTAAATTCATTATACAGCAGGTGTCATTCGTCAGCGTTTACTCTGGGGTAAGCTGGTGGTCGGCAAATTTGTATTCCGTGGTCCATGTTTGAAAAATCAAGAAGGTAGCGCATCGCCCAACATGCTGTATCATTTGTACACCCAAGTATAATACGCACAGCCCCGTTCTCTGTCCCTTCCATCCACTCCAACTGCTTATGACTGAGAGCCAGGAGCGCAATCACAATCTTAAAAACAGACAGGGCGATACACTTATATTAAAAAAAAAACACACACATAAATAACACTGCTCACAGTCTGCTGCAGCCACCACTCTTATCGCAGCCAAGCCCGCTTGGCTTTTATTATCACCTGGTCTATGTGCTGAGTATAAAGCCAGGCTACGATCAAATCCTATCCCAGGGTTATTTATTGATTGCATTCTTTCCACATTTTATGAGTATAGACTTACAGATGGCGTTCAGAAATTGACAGTGTGGTTATTTAAAAAGAACCAAGTCATTGCTGCCTTTTTTTGGACTGAGCAGTGCCTCTCAATTGATTCCATCGAATATGCTCTAATCAATCTCACTGTCAGCCATTCTCAGATTGAAAGACTTAAGAAGGTGCAAAAAGATGCAATGTGCATTATTCTGGGGGTGCGCTGGAGCCAATATTTGTTTAGCAGTAAGTTACAATCTTGGCTTCGCTATCATGAACTACAGGGTCAAGATCTGCAGGGATCGTGCACACCTCAAGATAAGCTCAGATCTGAAGCACCATATGCACCACATGCTTTTCAGGATAAGGGGCAAAAGACTTAAAAAGGGGCAATTCATGGCTGGGTAGGGCAGAGGATGATATCATGCAGGTCTGCAGTCTTACAGACATCCTTCTAAGTGAAGAATGGATACCAGCGTCTAAAGCGCCCAATCACACATTTGTCACGCTTGATAGGAACTGTCAAGAGCAGAATCAAGACTAAATTCCAAAAGTAAAAGAACAACCGAACCTTTCACCGGAGTTTACAGCAGGTGAACACAAAGAAGCAGATGATATACATGTTTGTATTTTTTACTTTTATAACTTAGTCTGATAATCACAAACGTTGCTAAATTATGTATTACTCCAACATGAACAGAATCCGGCCAACAATGCGAGAATATCAAACTAACGAGTACCCCGAAGCTGCCAGTAAAGAAAACTTTTATCGACTCTGAAGGCAATCCATTGCACATTGTCAGTGTGAAACTTGTGGAGCAGCTTTCCCAGACGAAGTGCGTTGAAGGTCATACGTTCGAGGTGTATCAGTACGCGTTCCGTGTCCTTGGAGGATGCAAGGCAGTATTCAAAGTCTGTTTGGAATCAGCAGTCCAAGAAACGACGACGACGGCTACCACTACTGGTAAAATTATATGTCTGTTCGTCGCTGTTGTTATGTTGTTGTTGTTGTTATCGATCCAGTGGCGCATGAGCTTTTGCCCTTTGGCCCAGTGCCATGTAGTGGAATTTGCATGTTTTCACAAGCTGTTCTTTTCCTTCGTACAAGGTGTTCCACTTTTCTGGTCTCAAAGGGAGTAGCATTCTTCTAGTCTCGCTGAGTTTTCGGCACTTAAAAAGATGGTGAACAGTTTCGTATGGGTAGTTACATATCTGGCACTCTGGGGGGGGGGGGAAGGGGGGGGGGGGTGTTGTGGCTGTATTCTGTTTAGATGTCCACTGAGTGGAGTATGTTGCGTTCTAAGTCTGGAGATGGTTGTCTGGTCCCTTCTTGTTAGATGGTTAATGCTGTCATTAGGATCAGGGTCAGCCATGTGTCTATAAACCTCTCTTCCAGTGACTCCCATGGCCCATCTGTTCAGCCAAGTCTCTTTGTTTATAGCTCTTATAAGTGTTTTTGCTGTCTGTAGGGTTGTCGCTGTATGTGGCTGTTCTTGTGTTGCTCCTTTCTTTGCCAGTCTATCAGCTCTGTCATAACCTAGTGTGCTGGAGTGGCCTGGAATCAACTGCATCACTATTCTGATGTTGTATGAGGTAATAAGCTGATCAGCATCCAGGATTATCTTGGCTATGTCAGTTCTGCAGCGTTCACTGCCCTCCAGAGCTTGAAGGGCAGACATTGAATCTGTGAAGATGACAATATTTTGGGCCTTCGAAGGGTAAACATCCATTACAGTCTTTAGGTGGTATACTGCTGTTTCGAGTGCAATTATTTCGGCTTCATAATTTGAGAACAATGGAGAACAATTACTCAATGTATGTGCAGAGCATGAACTAATTATCAGCAACACGCTATACCAACATAAGAGAAGCAAGATATAGACCTTGTATAAATGGAATAATATTAACCAAGCATCACAGATAGATTTTATTCTCACAAAAAAGAGCGACAGATGGAGAATAAAGAACTCCAGGGCCATCCCAAATGCAATAATAGACTATGACCATAGACCTGTAGTACTTTGGCTCTATAAACCAACAAGAATTTGCATTGATAAAACACCACAGCTAATGAATCAGATAGCCATAGAGAAACTAAAAGACAAATATGTGGCAATTCAAGTTGAGGAAACAGTTAAAAACACCTTCAGTACTCTAGAGAGAGAAAATGACATAGAAGAAGAGTGGCAAATTTTTAAAACCTGCATCCTGAATGTAATGACAGAAAAGTGCGGACTCCGAAAGCCAAGAAGGCACATGAAACAAACAGCATGCTGGAATGAAGAAGTTAAAATTTCTATCAAAGAAAAGAAGAAATATTTTCATCAGTGGCAAAAGTCCAAATTAGATGAGGACTACATCAAATATAGAAAAGCAAGAGCAAAGAGCAAGAGGAAAGTAAATTCAGCAAAATCAGAATCATGGGCAAACTACGGAGAACAACTAGCAAGGCTATGCACTGATTCACCGGGTCAGTTCTACCGAAGCATCAAGGCTATGAGACTGAGAGAGGAGAAATTTAACCCATCAAAGATCATAAACAGCAAGGCTAAAAAATCACTCACCAAATCCCAAGATGTTAAAAGAAGATGGCAAGAATATTTTTCTGAATTACTGAATAGTGGACCACAAGAACTAGTGTCTAATAAAATAAAATTTGGACAAGAACAAGAACCTAATATATTAGAATCTGAAGTTGAAAAGATCCTAGAGCAAAGCAAAAGAAACAAAGCGGCCGGAACAGATGGTATTACAACATATTACTTGCATGTAAGGCAACAGCAGTAAAATGACTGACAAGAATATTCAATTTGGCCTGGGAGGAAATGAAAGTTCCCGTTGACTGGCAGAGAGCAATTATAGTTCCCATATGGATAAAGATAGGTGAAAAACGAGATTGTGAAACATACAGAGGTGTATCTTTACAAAGCCATGTAGGAAAGATGTTTGCAAAAATATTATAACGAAGAGCGAGTGTGATATTAGAACCTCAATTAAGTAACAACCAGTTTGGATTTAGAAAAGGTAAGAGCTGCACTGATGCAATATTTACTCTTCGGCAAATTTGTGAACAGACAATCGAAAATAATAAACACCAGAATCTTATATTCATTGATCAAGAGAAGGCTTTTGACAGGGTTAACAGAAATAAACTATGGAACATTCTTGAAGAATATGGTGTACCGGGTCAATTATTGGGAAACATAATGGCTCTCTATCAAAATAGCCAGAGCGCTGTAAGAACAACGGAAGGTATGACAGACTGGTTCCCCATTACATCAGGAGTACGACAAGGATGTGTCCTATCACCCCTACTCTTCATCACATATATGGTTACAATTGCACAGGAGTTAAACCAAAACACAGATATTATAAATCAACTACTCTTTGCAGATGACCAATGTTTGTTACAAGAAGAAGAACAAAAACTACAACAACATGTTGATTCATTGCTCCCTAACTGTACACAATTTGACATGAAAATAAACACCTCAAAAACTGAAGTAATGACCATAGGAAAGAAACACAGTAATGTAAACATAAAGATCAATGACATACAATTAGAACAAGTTCAAGAATTCAAGTACTTAGGATGCATATTTACAGAAGATGGAAGACTCGATAAAGAGATACAGGCTAGAATTCAAAAAGCCAATGCAGTCAACTACCAACTGGCCCCACTTCTTCGTCATCCAAAGATCTCGTTACCAGCCAAACAACGGTTGATCAACAGCATTTTCATCCCTATGTTGTGTTATCAGTGCCAGACGTAGACAATGAACAAATCACATATGCAAAAAATAACTACGTGTGAAATGCGATGTCTCCGAAGAGTCACCAACAATACACGAAGAGACAGAGTCACAAACGTCAGCAATAAAGACAAAGTTGGAACAAGAGCATGCATGGAACATATTGAAAGACAGAGAATGAAGTGGTTTGACCTTTTAGTAAAAATGCAACCAGATCAGATTGCCTATAAGGCCTTTTACAGTAGAACAAGAAAGACCAGAGGAAGACCCAGGAAAAAATGGATAGATGGAGTAGCTGAATACGGCCAGAAGATCCAGAAAACTGTCACTCAAATCACGCGAGAGGCACAAAACAAATATTTTAAACCACGACACTGGGCTGCAACCCGGTAAAAGTGAAGAAGACAATATTGATAGATAATTTGAGCAGAATTCCCCGCCTGCATCAAAAATCTCTTCAGCAGATTCATCGGGATAACCTTTGTAGATTCCGTAATCTGCTTTAATGGTAGCTTTAAATGCAGATCCATCAGTATAAACATGTATCCATTCTTGGGGGTAAGAATCAACGGTCTTTAGCGATAACTTCATAACAGCGGTATAGTCGGACTGTTTGGTTTCCTCGCCTACCAATTTAATTCGGACTTCTGGAGCTTTAAAGCGAGCATGTAGTGGTAGGTTTCTTGCAAAATTCTGAATGCCTTGTCGTCTTTCTGTGAGGTGGTATCTGTCTTGAATTTCATGAACACAGTGTAAAATTGATTTGTGCTTTATTTTTTGTATTCCAAGTTTTCTACAACGTGTCTATTACGATGGCTACGATTCATACTAACGCATCGCTTAATAAATTTCTAAAGTGGCTTTTTCTCTTCGCAACCCAAGGGGTTCCACATCTGTATGGATTTCACATGCAGCAGTTTGTGTAGACCGCATAGCTCCGAAGATTAATCAGAGGGCATTATTTTGAACTCTGTCAAGAGTCTCTAGATTAGTTTTGGAGCAGGTTGTAAGCAGTGAGTTGTTGTACTCTATCACCGAGTGAACATATATAAGATGTAAGCCCCTCATTCGTCACGCTTGATAGGAACTGTCGGGAGCAGAATCAAGACTAAAATCCAAAAGTAAAAGAACAGCCGAACCTTTCACCGAAGTTTACAGCAGGTGATCACAAAGAAGCAGATGATATACATGTTTGTATTTTTCACTTTAATAACTTATTTTGATATTCACAAACGTTGCTTAATTATGTATTACTCCAACATGAACAGAATCCGGCCAACAATGCGAGAATATCAAACTAACGAGTACCCCGAAGCTGCCAGTAAAGAAAACTTTCATCGACTCTGAAGGCAATCCATTGCACATTGTCAGTGTGAAACTTGTGGAGCAGCTTTCCCAGACGAAGTGCGTTGAAGGTCATACGTTCGAGGTGTATCAGTACGCGTTCCGTGTGCTTGGTGGATGCAAGGCCGTATTCAAAGTCTGTTTGGAATCAGCAGTCCAAGAAACGACGACGACGGCTACCACTACTGGTAAAATTATATGTCTGTTCGTCACCAGTTTGTAACAGCTTGTCTGTCTACCAAGGCCCGATTAACCAATAAGCACACTAAGTACGTGCTTGGGGCATCACAAAGGGAGGGGTACTACACATATTTTCAAGAGCCTTGCAGCTGTTTATTTTTTCAGCTGGTGAATATTAACAAATGCGACTAGAGGTACAATGCAACAAGACAAGCTAAATGCCATATCTCTGTTAAGTAGACAAGCAGATGAGTTACATAAGGTTAGATTTGAGGATATGATCAGTGAATTTGAAATTTTAAACAAAATGTAGGAGAAACATTTTCAAAGATTAAAAAAAAAAAAAGAGCAAGAGTAGACATTTTTTCTAGGCTATCCTCTGAATTTCGGGCACTAAAAATAGCGGCCGCAAAATATCCTTTTGAGCCACAGTCACGTGTCAATTGCGCACTTCCGGTGACTTAATTTGCTGTTCTCCGACGGTTTTCTGGCGACTATCGCCACCGCCACGATTCCCTCACGCCGCTAACGCGGCGTGGATTGGGGCTAAACTAGATGACTAGGACCCATTCTGTTTTAAATGACCAAACCATTCGATCTTCTGTTTCTCAATGAAATTGTTTCATGGTTTTGTTCCTACAGTCTGTCTGATAATATCATTTCTTGCTTTGTCTCGGATGTTTAAGTTGACGGCTTTTCTCAGGCATCTTATTTTACAGGTGTTAATTTTACGTAGATTAGCGCCCGTCTCTCTAGCGTAGTTGGCTAAACCAGATTGCTGGATGAGCGGGTTACGAACTCCTTGTGGTCCGGGTTCACTCCCGTGGGTGGGCAAAAAAGCCACATTTCTCCCAGATTTACGGTATTTAAAATAAAGTCGAGGCCGAAAGGTTGCGATATCCATAATATTCAGCCTAAGGGTTAACAACTTTTGGCTTCTGGATACTAAAACAAAAAAACAAAAAAACGTAGATTAGCCTTTGATAATGTCCAGATCTGGCACTGGTAGCACAGTATTGGTATGAATATGTTGTTTATAATCTGTTTCTTTGACTCTCATACTTATGTTGGATGTCATAACAATGGTGTCAGTTGTATGTAAGTGCACTGGCTCGCTGGCATCTTGTTTCTATTTCCCGATCTGTTTTCCCGTATTCCAAGTATATAACTTTTGGATATTTAAATTCTTAAAATTGCTTCTGTCAAGTACAATTCAATCTGGTATGTAGCCGACTAGGAATTCTAGTTGAAAAAAAAAAAAAATATATATATATATATATATATATATATATATATATATATATATATATATATATATATATAATATATATATATATATTGTGTCTGTGTGTCTGTGTGTGTGTGTGTGTCAAATTTCCCTAATCAGTCTGTTCTACCCGTTCAATCAATTCTCGTATTTACCTGACGGAATCAATCTTCTTTATTCTACGTAATAAACCTTCTTACGAACTGAGCAACGCTACAACATATATTATTTATATATATAGGAATGTTTGCAATTTTAGATTTTTTTTTCTCATTTAAAAACTAAAAAACAACCCTGAACTGAGTATTATCGAAATCTCAACAGAAGAGGACATGAAGTGTGAGAATATCAAACTAATGAGTCAGCCCAAGCTGCCAGTAAAGAAAACTTTCATCGACACTGAAGGCAATCCATTGCCCATTATCAGTGTGAAACTTGTGGAGCAGATTTCACAGACGAAGTGCGTTGAAGGCCATACGTTCAGTGTGTATGAGTACGCACTCCGAGTGACTGATGGATGCAAGGCAGTTTTCCAAGTCTGTATTGATGCAGCAGTTGGGGAGATGACCACACAAGCTAATCCCACAGGTATCTGTCTGTCGGCTATCTTGTCTGTCTATACATCTATCTACCCATCCATCTTATTCTATCTATCTATCTATCTATCTATCTATCTATCTATCTATCTATCTATCTATCTATCTATCTATCTATCTATCTATCTATCTATCTATCTATCTATCTATCTATCTATCTATCTATCTATCTATCTATCTATCTATCTATCTATCTATCTATCTATCTATCTATCTATCTATCTATCTATCTATCTATCTATCTATCTATCTATCTATCTATCTATCTATCTATCTATCTATCTATCTATCTATCTATCTATCTATCTATCTATCTATCTATCTATCTATCTATCTATCTATCTATCTATCTATCTATCTATCTATCTATCTATCTATCTATCTATCTATCTATCTATCTATCTATCTATCTATCTATCTATCTATCTATCTATCTATCTATCTATCTATCTATCTATCTATCTATCTATCTATCTATCTATCTATCTATCTATCTATCTATCTATCTATCTATCTATCTATCTATCTATCTATCTATCTATCTATCTATCTATCTATCTATCTATCTATCTATCTATCTATCTATCTATCTATCTATCTATCTATCTATCTATCTATCTATCTATCTATCTATCTATCTATCTATCTATCTATCTATCTGTCTATCTGTCTATCTGTCTATCTGTCTGTCTGTCTGTCTGTCTGTCTGTCTGTCTGTCTGTCTGTCTGTCTGTCTGTCTGTCTGTCTGTCTGTCTGTCTGTCTGTCTGTCTGTCTGTTTGTCTTTTTGTCTGTCTGTCTGTCTGTCTGTCTGTCTGTCTGTCTGTCTGTCTGTCTGTCTGTCTGTCTTTCTATCTATCTATCTGTCTTTCTATCTAGTATCTAAAATATTCGAACAAGACTACTATCCAGAAATAGGTGAACTACCAGAACTTTCCGCCGGAGTTTACAACATGTGGACGCCATGAAGGGGAAGAAGGTTATCATTACCAAAAATTATTTATTACTAATAATTCTCTCTTTCTACCTGGCTGCAGAATTGACAGTCGCCGTCATGGCATAGATGTGGAATTGTCTTTACTCAAGAATGTCATACAAAAACTCTATATAGCTGCATGGTTCTAATAAAAGATGAGTGTTCAGTTGAGTGTTGGTATAACAGATGACGTCACTGCACTCGGGACAATACCATAAGCACTCCGTCTACATCTTAAGCGGCCAGCGAAGAATTCCTATTTGGATAGTGAAAGGAAGTTTTATTGTATGTCCGTTATGCTTTTCCTCTGCGTAGAATACCTACCAGAATCCCTGGTTACTCATAGTTGTGACATTGCATCACTAGACCATAATGATCCTATACGGATGTGAGAGTTGAACTGTCACTGTGGAAATGGAAAGGAGGGTTCAGGCTTTCAAATGTAAATGCCACAGACGCATTTTACGAGTTAGTTATTTTGATCACAAAATTAATAAATATGTCAGAGACAAAATATACAAATTTGCAGTACATCATGAAACTTCGCAAGCTAGCTTGGTCTTGGCACGTGGTGAGACATGATTCGATTGCGAAAATTATACTTCAAGGAACATTGTGGGGTAGTCGTAGAAGACGAGGGCAAAGAAGAACATGGAATGATAACATTAAGAAGTGGACAGAACTAAGTTATCATACACTTATTCATCAAGCGAAAGACAGAGAAAGATGGCGGGTTCTATGTGCTAGTGCTTCCATCAATACACCTTCACGACCCTAATGGGTCAAGGGTTATGTTATGTTTAATGAACTATTCGTTCATTCGCTCCTAAATAAAAGTTGAAGAACATGTCAGAAGCATTAATGCCATTGTTTTCCCAGGCGAGGAATGCATGAGGTTGGAGATGGACAGCAGCAAGTCAAGGAAGCTCAAGCAGATCAGGATCGTTGACCGCAAAAGCAGGAAACCCGTCAGAATCACCAGCGTGGACGTGGACAAGCAAATGACGGACATTCCATGCCAGCCTGGGGAGACTTTTGAGTATGAGGACAACAGTGTACGTGTCACCGGCGGATGCGGGGCTATGTTCAAAGTCTGCTACGAGAAGGAGATGGAGTCGCGCCCAAAAGGTAGGTTTTTGTGGTGTCGGTTATGTTTACTAGTTATTTAACCTACATGTGCATGTTTAACTTCAGATTCTGGAACAAGACTAAAGTTTAGAAGTAAAGTGGATAAACAACCAAAACTTTCCACCGGAGTTTACAGCTAGTGAACGTCGAGAAGAGGAAAGAAGAAGAAGAACGCCCATGCTTATGTTTCCCTGTCACTCTTCTTCTTTTTTTTTTTAGTATTCCGAACCCGCCCCTATTCATCTCTCTGGCTGCCACTCTCTTTCCAGTTGGTAACACCCAGTGTTTGCAGGTTTGTCTGGACGTTATCTCTCCATTGTCTTCTTGGTCTGCCTCGTGGTCCACTACCATTCATCTCTCTTGCGTATACAGTTTTTACTTCTTTGTCATCTGACATTCTTTCAATATGCCCCAGCTATTTCAGTCTATTCGCTCTCATAATGCCTGTGATCAGTGGTGATTTAAACAGATTGTGAATTTCGTTTTTGCCTATTACTGTCACTTCTCCCTGTATTTACCACTTTCGCGGTGCAGACAGTGCGTTTGGTGTACCTGAGTATTAAGGACAGCATGGCTAGTGCATTCGCCACACACTATGCAGGAAAGGATTTTATTTTTGCTCCTTGACCGAAAACAAACTCCACAGCCTAACCAAGGACTCGAACCTGATTCTCCCTGATAAGAGCCTCGCATAGTAACCCGTTCGGCCAGCCGCTGCTCGTCTCCAAGATCCCCTGGTTAATTGTGTTGACATTTATTGAAACTGAAAACGTTCAACTGAATACATAAAATAACCTGGTTGGGAAAAGAGACGGATGAAAAAACATCTGTTTGGCCGGGAAGGGGGTGGGTTGTTAATAGATACATATAGTTGTGAGTAAACATCTGTTGACACTAAATACGTTAAACTGAATACTTAAAAAGTGTTCATGGTTGGGAATAGAGGCAGATGGGAACACGTAAAAGGGGGGGTGGGGGGGGGGGATATTAAAAAGATACATACAGTTTTTGAGTAAACATATGTTGGAGGGAAAAAAAAAATTGGAGGTTACGGATACATAGAGTTTCCAGTTTTAAGTAAAATTCTGTTGCTTATGCCGTCAGAGTGTTCCGATTTACTGTTATGACCATCAGTCTAATAACGTAACTCAATGGCTTTTGTCCCTGCGACGTTATTCATTTATTCCCAAAGACGCTCACTAATCACCACGCCAGAGGGTTAATTACAGTAATAAATGTATTAGATTGCTACTAGGGCTGATATTGTTAGTGAGGAATACTAACTTTATAACCTATACAATAGGAGGCTGCGTGGTCTCGAAGTAGAAGGGTAGTTGTAGCGGGTAGAAGGAGTGGATAGTAAGATCAAACGCCCGTATGTATTGTTGTGCGCAGCTGGAAATAAAATAAAGAGTAGACTAACGGCGCTGCCCGGGCAAAATTTAGAGTTAAAAATCTTTCTAAAGTATTTCAGGATCCTTGCTGGTGCAACAAAGTTCGTGGACTGCGTTGAAAATCTTCAATTTGAGTTAGAAGTAAAAACAGCAGCACTTATGGATTACACCCGTGTGTCATGATGTTGATCCGTTAAAAAAAACAAAAAAATCAAACCAACCTATATAGTGTTGAGCGTTGGTGTGAAGCTGACTACTCCATGAAATAAAATAAAATGTGGCTAAAAACTTCAACCAGTTATGAACAGGTATATCAAGGACTTGTAATACGTTTTAAAGAAATTTGTTCCATTGACAGATAAAAGCTAAAATAGGAAATTAACCAGAAATAGAACTTGATTTCCGGCGCAGATCATATTTGCGCCATATTCTTAACTCTTTGGGTATCAAGCACCTGTCCATTTGTTTCTTGGTTGTATGAGTATGTTGTCTTGTTCTTGTGGTCTTCTATCACGGACAGCTATCTTGTTAACGTGTTATGTCTAAATTATCAGTTTAACCATTTACTCGTATGTTGCCTGGTGTCTCTACTGAGCTCCTTCGGAACTTAGTATTTATTGCTTGCAAGCTTAAACTCCTTGTCATGTGGGGTTTTAAAAATTATGGCTGAAAGAGTTAAAATATAATGTAATTTTATGTTTACATTTGCAGAGGGTTGCACAAACGTAACACTCCGCAGCAGCCTAGACAAGTCCAGAGTTGCAAATATCAAAGACAAGAAAGGTAATCCAGTACAAATTGTCAGCGCCAAGGTCATCACACAGTTGTCGCCCATCGTCTGCATTTACCAGGACACTTACAACTACAAAGATGGCATGTTGTGGGCAAGCAAGGGCTGCAGTGCTGATTTTAAAATATGTTATGTGAAGAAAGGTCATCAGAGTAAACATCAAAACTGATTAAATTGTGATGTGAATAATCAGAAACTTACACGTAACACATTTTGAATTTGATAAAAGGTATATTCCACACTTTATTCAACCTTGTTTGTGTTAGACGTGTGAAAGGGCGAATGTTCTAAGTATTAAATACAACAAAATGTAATTACATAGCTCAACAGGAGGGAATTGAAAAGACGCGGATTCCGTGAAATTAGTACTCACAATGGAAAAGAAATTCCCTCTATTGAGCGTACTAGACTCATTTTATGTTGTAGTTAGCATTTATTATCATCGGCATGACTGAAACACACTATATTTACCCCTTACCTCAATTGTGGGAGGTGTACGAAAAAATCAGAGAAGCAGAAATAGACAGAAGGCTTTCGAGACTAGGTTAATGAACGTGTTTCACCAGCTCCAAGTTCATTCTCCCGGCTGATGTAAAGGAGAGAGAAAAAAAATGGCTCCCGAGGACAGTGCTGTCTTAACGTATGAGCTTGATAGACGCTTGCCCAGGGGTCCCACGAGCATTAAGGTTCCAAGCTAATTTATCTATGTGTATGAATAAAAATTTAATTCTTGTTAGTCGTTGACATAACGGCCCTAGCAAACACGGGCACCTAATGTTGTTAAAAGGAGGCTTTGACTTTGGAAGAGAGTCAGTCGGGCAGCGCGTACAAATTATCCTAAGATTGGCGGTGGGTGTAGATATTCATAAAAGTCAATCCCTATTGCAGAGATGGAAAATATTACATTTAATTTTCAAAGGTTACTAAAACCGGTGCCAAGAATGTATGAGGCAGTTATAGGAGAGGATGTCATGAGGAATGGAAAGCTCATACAATACTCATGCCAGCAAAGGGGGAGGAGAAAAACAAACGCAAGATTTCTATACATAAAAACTGTTGATTTCTCAGTCACACACACAGCAACGCCCCCACCCCCCCCCCCCCCCACAAAAAAAAATAAAGGGAAAAGGAGGGGGGGGGGGGGGGGGGTTGCAGGACTGACCAGAGAAGTTATAATTAGGAATGATCTAAGCAGAGAGAAAAAAAGAAGTCGGCACAGAACCACTTCTAAACTACAAACAGATAACAATTCAAATGGCCCAGTTAGAGAGAATGCCTTGTGACCTATACAAAGCATATATACAAGACAATATAGAAGAACAGGATAAGGTAGACCAAGAAAAAAAAGAAAGATAACGTCAAGGAAAATCTACAATAGTACGATGTGTCTGTAAGCAAGAAGCAGAGCCTTACATTTTCTTCGACACCCGAAGCTGTAAAAGAGTAAGCGAAAAAGAGAAGATAAACGACATTTCTTCTGAGAAAAAGAAAAATAGAAAACTTCACTGCGAAGTTCCTGTGCTTAAAGTTGCACAGTGATATTGCATAGGTTGGTCAACAACCTATTCCGATATACAGCCTTTGTTTAATGCTGTGGAATGACCATTTAAATTTTCAGTAGCAAACAGGACATCCAAATAAACCACACGCACCATTTTTTTCTTCCTGTTTTCAAAACGAAACCGTAAGCACTAGGAACTAAAGTCTCAACTCGAGATAACAAGGATAAACAGTCACTGGCTTCCCAGACAGAATGGGCTTCTACTCTGATAACTTCTTCAGCACTGGGTTTTATAGTATATGCAGTGTGGCATAGGCTCAACATTTTTCAACAGCCTTGTGTCCTGTGCACTAAATGTCACTTTTGATCCAGAAATTGTTCCATGCCATAATGAGATGTTACCTTTACTGGTCTACCCTTGACTCTCTTAGTCTCTTTTTTTTTTTAAAATTGCCACTAGGTACTCTAGTAGGTACTGAAACCTGGAAGCACAGGCTTCTTGAGACCCCCCCCCCCTCCCCCTTACCCCCTCACCCCCCCCCCCCCCCATCCTTTGCCCCCTTTCCCTGTAGAGAAGCTGTCCTTCTGAGTATCTGTTTATTCATTTCATATTATTTAAAATATATTATTTTATCCCGCCCCTCCCTCTTCCACAGTGGCTTTGCGATTCCGATTTAAGTTAACCTCTTTCTAGTCGTATATTATGATTTGGGTGCCGCGTTAGCGCAGTCGAGAGGAGTCTCGCTTCCAAATCCAGCTGCGACTCGCTGCAGCCCACAGCCGGTGTTCGAAACTAGGCAGTTTCCGGGGTTTATTCAGCCTCTAGGTAATGGGTACCAGAGTTAACACTCGGGTAAATTGAGGAAGGTCGCTGTAGCTACCGAGTTGCGTGCGGACGGCGACACAGGTGGACAGTTTCTTATCAGCTGTCCGTACTGCTGCCAGAGCACTTATGGTTTGCAATAACGCTGGTTCACATCTCCCGACTTTACCTTTTTATATTATGATATACCTTATAAGGGTCAAGAGCTTCATTAATTGATGGACACGGTGATGGTAGACAGTGGAAAAATGGGCCCCAGTTTTAGTAAAAGGGACACAAACGTAATGGGTTATCCAAGAAAAGGATAGCGCTTAAATCTGTAATAAAAGTCAAAGGCGTTATTTCTGGACAAGTACAGAAACTCAGTATCTAGATGGAAGATGTATCATAGAGATAAAGAAAAGAACAGGACAGGACAGGTCAAAGTTGCATTCGATGAAATGAAGAGCATTTTATGCAACAAATTCATGTCATTGGAGGTTAGGAAAAGAATTCTCGCACACTATATAAAGTCAGTTTTAACATTTTTTTGTGAATCCTGGTCAGTTAATAGACCCAGAGTTTCAAAAGAGGCGCTAACTCAAAGACAATTTAAAAAAAACATCAGAAAGAGACTGTCATGCGTTTTTGACCACGTTATGAGAAAAAGGTAACTGGAACATGTTGTGACCTCGGGAACGATCCCGAGGGAAAAGATACAGAGGAAGACACTGCGAGAAGTTTGTTGACAGACCTTTGTCGTGGTATGGAGGAATGTCAACACACGAACTGATACGTGCAATTGCAGACTGTGGAGAGGCATGATCCCCGACGCCAGTCAGCAAGGCATTTGACGATGGTGATGTTCAGCATTTTTACACTCCGAAACATGTAGTTAGATTGTTACAGTTTATATAATGAAACAAAGTATTAAAGTTCCGTTTACCCTACCTCACTTAGATCTTCTCCTCCTTAAAGAAATTACTAAATACCTGGCATTTATTATTAGACTTGCCCTTAGAAGCGTCTTTAAAGTTTAATATTGAATCTATGAGTTTTTGCACATCTGCAGAGTGTTAATGAAGTATCGGTAATCAATAATGTACCCTCAAGTAATTATATCGCCAGGTTTCAGTAGTAGTAGGACTTTTTTTTTTTTTTTTAAATACTATTTTGTAACAGCGTTAAAGCTGCGTGCATGTTATGACTGACAAGATGATACTGGACTGTCATGTCTTCACGTTCTTTGTAAGTACTAGAATATTTTTTTTTCTTATATAATTCTGTTACACTATGGTCGCGAATGTTTCGGACCACAATTTTTGGAAAGATAACGAAGCCTTGACTCACTTCTCCTCCATAAACATTCTGGGAAAAGCAAGTAATTATGGGTTTCCTGTTTTAGGAACGCTGGCCTGCGGATAGAAAAGTCGTGCGTTCAGGTCCTGATTGAGTCAGACGTTTTGTTCTTTCTTCAAAAATTGTCTATGCTTCCGGGTCGACCCAGCTTTTAATGGGTACTAGGTAAAGTCCTAGTAAGTGAGGGCGGTCGTAAATCGTCAGTGTACATCAGTCTACATTGAAAAGGTCTCCCACTTTATTATATACTCGAAATGAATAAGGTATAATTATAATTTCCCGATAGCCCATTAGAAAATAATTATTTATAGATCCCGATGTGCGTTCCGGGATCCCATTGTAAGAGAAAAACAAGAATAGACCAACTGCCTCCCCAACAAGCATGTCATAGGAATCGACTACTTGAGGGCTTACTTCGAAGTCGGAGTGCATCTGCCTGAGAGGCCAGGAACAAACAGCTGTACACAAATAAGCCAGTAAAACGGATGTACACGTAAAACTCAGACCCGGACACAAAGATGGACGAATAACCAAAATTTTCCGCGGGAGCTTACAGCAGTCAACAAAGAAGAAGAAGAAGAATATTTTTTGGTACCATCTGAGGCAAAGAGAGAAATTATGCAATCATATAGACTGTGAAACAAAACCCTGCATAGAATTTATTGCGAAATAGAAGATAAAATGGTTACTTTATCTCATTATAATGTGGCTAGAACGATTAACAGCACAGGTCCTAGAGGGAAAAGAAAGAGGCCGCCCTAGGAGAAGAGGCCACGTGTCGAGCAAAGGATCCTAAATTGTGAAAACAGATTATGATAATGATGATGTTGATTCGGTACAACAAAAACATTACCAGAAAACGTTTGAGAAGATTTTCAAGCGAAAATAAAAAATAACTACAATCAACAACATGATCTGCTTGTATAGAGACCACTTAAAACATTGTAAATCACCAACGTTGAACCATATGTCCATAGCATTTTCTGACTGAATGTAACAAGTAACATGGTACATGTTACAGTGAATAGTCTTCAAGGTAATCGTTAGTTTCCTGGAACTGAAGAGTTAAATTGTTCTTGTTGACAAGCAAATACCTAAAAGCATGTTAAGGAAATATTACACACTCAGGAATTATCTTATCTGTGTGGGTTTCATATCTCCCTTATGGTCTTTAACAAAAATGGACCCATTGCACCCCGTCTTCCCAACAATCATGTTGTAAAAGTTACGCCAGATCTACACAGACGGATGTGGACGTAAAAATAAAATTCTGGAACACAGCTAAAGTCCAGAAGCAGATAAACAACCAATATGTTGCCATCTCTTATACTTATGTCAAAGTCCCTTATGCGATTAATGACATGTGCAGCTACTGATCTGTGGTAATTGCTGCTTCCATCGAAGATGAACTACACTTCTAGTGCCTGACTGTTTGTGTTGGCTCTTACGCATTAAATGCGTGTACATGCTGCTGGCTTTGCCAGGACTGCAGTTTGTGTAATATTTTTCCCACAAGCAACAGGGATAAGCATTATGTCTGGTTGTCGTTGATAAAGGAAAGGAGCAACTATGGTGTCACCCGTTTGCTATGAAGCTGTAACTGCGACAACCTGTTTATCTGAGTAGTTTCGTTCACATCTAACACATTATACTCACATCATTTTTCGTTCTCCTTTCTTCTTCTACTTCTGTGTTCGCCTTCAAAATGACTCTTGCTGTTGAATTCCAGTGAAATGTGACTAAAAAGCTTTGCGAAACGGGAAAGCAGAAAAACGTGCACAAGCAACAGAAGAGTACATTTTTCTGATTCCACGTTTCGTTAAGCATTGAAGTCACCTTTCATTGGAATTCCTTGTTGCTAGCTTGACTACAGCCGACCTATATTTTCACCACATGCTTGTTAATTAAGCGGTATTTTTTTTTAACCGCCAAAATGGCTACACGAGAAACAAAAGGGTTGTATCTATGTTATAAGCGTGTTCTAAAGGTAATGTGCTTTTTGTTGCAGGCAATCCTGACATGCACAGTTGCCTGGGAACCGGGTAGGTAATATCAACAGGTAACAAATGAACGAGAGCAAAAATGACAAGAACAACAAAAATATGGATGTGAAGAAAGTGAGACAAATCAGAGGAAGGCAATAGTGTCGACAAAAACAGAGGCATACAGAAAATTTAAACACACACACACATGCGTACATGCAGAAATCTTGGTGCAAATGACATAGACATACATATATACATATACAACACATACATGCATGCATATTTCCATACACACATACACACTTACGTACAAACATACATACACACACATACCTACAAACATACATACACACATACGTACAAACATACATACACACACATACGTACAAACATACATACAAACATACGTACGTACAAACAGGCAGACAGACAGACAGACAGACAGACAGACAGACAGACAGACAGACAGACATATTAAGACAAACAGACGGATGGATGGACGGATGGACAAACAGACAGACAGACAGACAGATTTCACCGTCAAGCCTGCGTCGGTGATTTTTTTGTTACCTTTATATTTTGTAATGAACAAAACCTTTTCAGGTTCCTCAATTATATTATATCATTCTTAATAACCAATCGCTCTCATTACTAAAAATAATGAATTAATATCAGTTTGATTTCTTTATTCTCTCTTTCGTTCTTCCTACGAATAACGGTGTCAAAATAAAAATAAAAAGAATTAAAAAAACAACACGTAGGCGTACTTTGTGCTGGTAGAAAGTATACACAGTTAACACATATTGGCTGTTCAATGAAATGTAAACATTGCTCTGGAAAGCTATATAAGTACAGCCTATACAATGTTAGAGGCAGACCAAGAGAAATGATGGTGGATGGCTTGAGACAGTGGCATGGAGGAATATCATCAGTAGAATAGATCCAGAACACCAAAGACCGAACTCTGTTTAAATGCGTGAACTCTAACGCCATATGCCACATGCCAAAGCACTTGATGATGAAAACGATACAATGTTAACGAATACATACTAAAAGCAGATGGACTGCAAGTCAGTGGCGCCATGCTGTTGTATTCAGTGATCTTTGATGCGTCTGGAGACATTATGGAAAGAGCTTTGTTAAGTGTGTTCTAAAACACTTCACTTACTGTCAGGCCGGGCTGATTGTCTTGGCAAGTATCTGGACAGGCGGCTGCTCCAGTTTTGACGTTTTGAGGATGATGATGTTAATGGCCAAAGATCTTCTTGCAGATTAAATAGCGTGCCAAACACTGTTACCAGACTTGGCTTGTAAGTTCTCCTTAACTGAATCAATTGAAACTAGCTTGGGTAGGTCGGGTTTGGGGAGGGGAAGAGAGAGAGAGAAAAGGGGGGGGGGGGGTGTTTTATAACTTTCACGATCAACTACGAACGCCTGTAACCACCAAGGGCGCCTCACGGTTTTACTGGTTTTGATTTTCTCCAAGTTGACTCAAACAACATGGCACCCGTATTGTTCATGTACTCATTCTGAGTTATGTCATACTTGCTATTTGTGGATGCGGTGGGTGGGTTGGGAGAGGAAGGGGGGATGATAATTCTGGAATTCCCAGAACTAAATATTTAACAGTAAAGTTTGCAAGTACGCTTCACAATTTTTCTTTATTTTTTTTTTATGAACTATTATGAGAAAAGAAATTACACTTCAACTTAGGTTGAAGGTCAAGAAAATTTATTGTTTAAAAAAAAAGAAGTTATAATTTTGTTGTTGTTTGTTGGTATACATTGTGCAAGTCGGTCAGGGGCCGTCTGGTCCAAGAGATTGGCTGCAGTCATTCTGTCTTTTGTCATTATTAATCACTCTGTTAGCCTTCTGTTTGTTTATCTTTTAATCGTGTCCTGCTATTTTTATCTACATTGTGATGTCTTGCTTTCGACTATGTTGAGAAAGGTGGAGACAGCATGTTCCGTGCAGAGTGGCAAGCATCACTTCAGAGGTTCTGGTTAGTTAACATCCTGTGGATATTTTTTCCAGCAATGCCGTTGTGTTGGGAAATGAGCATGCAGCTAAACTAGCCGGTTCTGTACCACCTGGCAGTGAATTGACGGATGATCAGCTAAATGTTATGAGGGCCCTTTGGGAGCGAGTGAACAGTGCGGAAGCACAGATAGATCATTACTGTCTAAGGAGAACGCCGCTGCCAGGAGTTGCCAGGGGATCTGGCCGACGCTCAACACTCAAGGGAAAAGCCAGATGGATTTACAATCTGGCAGTTACTGGTGCCATCGAAATTGGAACTCTTTGCCTGCTGCTGAAGATGGGAAGTGGGCGTTTATGGAAGTGCCCCAAAATCTATGATGTCGACGATGTCGATTTTCAATCCAACATTCAACATATGTCTAATGTAAAAATTATAGGGAAGAGCTTTTTTGATTTACTATTAACTCACAGTCGGCTTTGTGGCTAAGTCGATGCGAAGGCCTCGTAATGCCGGGATGCCGGGTTCGATCCCAGCTGCAGGCTATGCCCCTTGCGTTGGTTTCGACAATAGTATCAAGAGAGCCAACCTTCCAGAAAGCAATGTCAAACTACTGGACATAAATGCCTAGAAAAACCACACAACAGCAAGGGGCTGTTATGGTTGGTTCTGCAACGTCCTGTAAAGGATACGCAACTAACCTGTTAACTCACAACGCAGATCTTAGTATCATTGTAACTTCTTTTGAACGGTGGCTATTCATGTGCATTATGTGCGTGTCATACTGTAGACACATGCCAGGATGTGCAGCTGACAAGCCAGACTAAAGAGAAAAGCCGACTTTACTTCCGAGATGGCAAAGGAGAACCGGCCCTGGTCAAGAACGTTACGTTAACGGAGCAGATTTCTCAGACACCTTGTGTCAAATGGTACAATTTTGGCCACTCTGGCTTCTCCGTAATGGCTGAGAATGGATGTCATGGAAAGTTTAGTGTTTGCTACACTTCTGGTCATCGGCTACCTGAGGTACCCATTCACAGAACAATAGGTAAGAACAAAAAATGTTCCTTCAGTTTAATTAGTTTAGTCCTGTGTAATTTGCGAATCGTAACATAACATTTAAACATGAATCCAAGCTATCGTTTAATGTGTTAACCACTATTTTACTATTGGTCGCAGTACACTTTAGAAATCTGGCTTCCATGTTGGTACTATACATCAGGTATTTTTCACAGCTGTTATTCACTTCCTTCGGCAATTGCAGCGAGAAACCCGTAGGATTAAAAGAGGTAATACACAAAGTGGAGAAAACGGATTCATGAAACGAATAAAGGGGAATTTTTTTTTTTTTTTAGCTGAGAGTTACTTCAGTTCAGACAAAAACAATTTACAATAATAACAACACAATATGAGCACAGTGGGTAGAAGCTGTTCTATAGCTCTGAAAATTTTGAGTTCCATTCCACATCCAGGCAGATGTTTATAATTGTCCGAGTCTAAAATATGTATCAATAAAGGACATGAGAAGTAAAAGAGAACCATATGGTTTTAACAAAATTATCAGTTGAGCTGCAGAAGTTACCAGAAGCGATCAGATCAGGAATAAGTTCATACAAGAGCACATAACAAGTTTTAAATTACAAAGACATCAAATCCAATTGTTTTTACATTTAGAGGAAATACCTTGTGACACCACACCATACAAGGCATGCCTAACAACAACAACAACAACAACAACAAAGAAAGAAGAAGGGCGTAGCGACCGATGTAGACCAAGAACAATATGGAAAAATAGCATCAGAGAAATTCTACAACAGCATGAAGTTTCTGTGGTCAAGGCGACCAGAAGAGCAGGAGGCAGAACCGTATATCTGCCTCGACACCTTGAAGTTTAAACAGCAGATCAACATAATGGCACTCGGGTAGTAACCCAAAAGGTATTCCATTCTACTTCTAACTCGTCGAGTCCGAAGTGGCTCTGCGCAGTGCGCGGACTCTGGATTACCGGCGAGGATCGTGAAGCTGTTAAGGATAAAATGAAAAAGAAGAAGGAGATCACTGAGTGCCATATGGTCTAGACAAATACTACGCTAGAATACTATGCCTATAGTAAAATGTACGTGAGAACGACTTTTTGACTAATTTACAGCTCACAACGAAGATATAAGTTTTCTTGTAACGACTTTTGAACGTTGGCCACGCATGTCAATTAAGGAGCCAAGTTACTCACAGTTTGAGACCATTTCCACAAGCGTGCATTTCGTTATCCCTTGTTCTCTTCCGTTTTCGTCACACTGTTACCAGGCTTTGGCCAAACGCGTCACTGTTGCAGTTTTTTAAAATATAATTTTGGTTATATGAAAATTGCTATTATTTCGAGTTAAAAACAAGATTTTTATATTTGATGTATTTTTAACCCCCCGCCCCAACCCCCACCCCCTCTCTCTCTCTCTCTCTCTCTCTCTCTCTCTCTCTCTCTCTCTCTCTCTCTCTCTCTCTCTCTCTCTCTCTCTCTACCTTTTTGTGAGAAAAAACGATGTCATCATCAAATATCATCATCCTCAAAGGGCTCGGAATGGTGAAGAAGAAGAAGAAGCAGAAGATAACCATCAATTGCATTGCCAGCTGGCTTAGAAGTTCATGCATCAGATATCTGATGTTTTGGATTGATTCCACTGATGATAGTCCTCCATGCCACTGTCTAAACTAATCCACGATCGTTCATCTTGGTCTGTCTCTGCCTGTTCAACCAGTGATATTTCCAGTCATAACAATATTTTCTATTGCCCCTTTTCTCATCACATGACTAAAAAACTTTGCTTGTCTCTTCCTCATTGTTATATATAATGTTTTACTTTCAATAGCCATTTCCAGGCAATCATTGTTATTTATTCTAGCAGTCCAATGTAATTATCGAATATACTAAAGTACAGATCCCTTTTCACGCTCTTAAGCGTATCGTGTATACAGTAAGAGCTCTCATATTTTAACAGACCGTCGGCACTAAGTGGGTATTGTGCTCAGCATTACGCCAGCAGTCTTTACTTCCCCAGGACAGCCATCCCGGTACCCATTTTAAACTGGGTCGACCTGCAACGCCCCATACCATATTGAAAATTCAAGCAGCCAGCGGAGGGTTTCAATCGCGGTACCTTGGAATAACGAGTCGGACTCGGAACGCCTAAGCCACGGAATCATCAAATATGAGTTTTACAATTTAAATTCCAATCTTTTGAATAGATCAAAGATTCCAAAATGTCATTATATGATGTTTCCAGCATGCACTAACCTACGTCTGACCAGCAGGGAAAGAGTACCAGACCAAAGATTTATATCACAATATGTCAGCGGCGGAGATTACATTGTCAGTATGGAGCTGCTTCATCAAATGACCGCGGTCAGTTGTGTTTTGGGTCTCTCGTTCATTTTCTACGACCACAGAGTGGAGGCTCGGTTTGGCTGTAAGGGCGACTTCAGGGTCTGTGTGGACACTCTTATCGTTCTCAACAACAATGTGCCAGGTTGGTATGTTGTTATCTTGTTAAATATCAAAATGCCAGGTAGCTATGTCGTTTTCTTATTAAATCTTATTGTACCAGGTTGATGTTACACAAGCAGACATAGATACATACATACGAAGATACATATATAAATACGTACATACATACATACATACATACATACATACATACATACATACATACATACATACATACATACATACATACATACATACATACATACATACATACATACATACATACATACATACATACATGCATGCATGCATGCATGCATGCATGCATGCATGCATACATACATACATACATACATACATACATACATACATACATACATACATACATACATACATACATACATACATACATACATACATACATACATACATACATACATACATACATACATACATACATACATACATACATACATACATACATACATACATACATACATACATACATACATACATACATACATACATACATACATACATACATACATACATACATACATACATACATACATACATACATACATACATACATACATACATACATACATACATACATACATACATACATACATACATACATACATACATACATACATACATACATACATACATACATACATACATACATACATACATACATACATACATACATACATACAACATACATACATACATACATACATACATACATACATACATACATACATACATACATACATACATACATACATACATACATACATACATACATACATACATACATACATACATACATACATACATACATACATACATACATACATACATACATACATACATACATACATACATACATACATACATACATACATACATACATACATACATACATACATACATACATACATACATACATACATACATACATACATACATACATACATACATACATACATACATACATACATACATACATACATACATACAGACAGACAGACAGGCAGACAGACAGACAGGCAGGCAGGCAGGCAGACAGACAGGCAGACAGACAGGCAGGCAGGCAGGCAGGCAGGCAGGCAGACAGACAGACAGACAGACAGACAGACAGACAGACAGACAGACAGAACGAACGAACGAACAAACTTTATTTTCAAAGGGTTACAAATTGGGCACGCAGGCCCGTCTGACATTCGGCCCCTCTAAGTACTCATTTTTCAGAGTACTAATACCTGTTATCAATAATGCATGTTATGGATTTAAAAAGAAATATATAATGCATACACACATCGTGTGTACGCCATCATACACACTCACACACACGTATACATACATCTACATTTTCATACAGGTGAACTCATATACAGACATACGTGATACATACACACCTGCATCTACATACATATACAAGCATACACATACACAGAAATAAATGCACAAACAGAAAACACACACACATACATTTATGGATATACATGCACACACGCATTCCATATATACACATCTATACATGCACCCATGCATATAAACATATACCATTACATGTACAGACACCAAGATATGCCCAAAACCACACATTTACACTTACATGAATACATACACCCACACACATGCATACATATATACACACATTTATACCTAAGCTCACATCTTTACACACATACATACATACCTAAATATACTTTCATATATCCACATGCATACACACACAATCACACACACATGCACACTTGCATGCTTTTATACATACACAAACACCCACATACCTACACAGCTACATATACCTGCATACACCCACATTATACATAAATATACAATCACATACTTACACATTTACATTCATACATTCTCATACATACAGACATACATACACATGTGTACATACATAGGCTAAATCTGCATGCATACATAATACAAACATACATCGACATACAAACATAAACACACATTTACATAGACATGCATGCGCGCGCAAACACACACACATGCATACATACACACAACCATACATACACTCACATACTTACAAACATACATACATACTTGCAAACACACATAAATTCACACACATACTTACACAGATACATACATACATCCACCAACATGCATACAAACACACATACGTGCATACATACACACACATAACATACATAAACACATATGCATGCATACACACATAACTAATCACACAAACAGACACCCTCATACAAACATTCACTTATATATGCCTGCATACATACATACATGCATACATAATACAGACACACACACAATCACACTCATATACAATCACATATACACCCATATATTTACAACCTACATACATAAATACACACACATACTCACAAACCTAAAAATACAGACATATATCCACATATATACATACACACTAACAATTACACTCACCCACCCACATAATACACACATATAATACATATAAGTAAGGTGATAATACATGTGAATTATTAACTTCATCTAAGGTGGCCTATAATCACCAGTAAGCATGAATTTTAAAAGGCTGCGATTAAACGAGTACATACTCATATTTTTCAGATCGAGTGGGAGGTGATTCCATAAATGAGCAGCAGAATATGACAAACTTGTTTTATATAGATCTAATCTAGGCTTCGGCAAATGCAATAAATTTAGCCGTTTGTTGGTATTAGGGTTGGGTTGAATCAACTGGAAAAGATAATCTGCAGTGTTCTGAGCTAGAATTTTATGAATAAATTTGGCTTTATACAGACAGACAGACAGACAGACAGACAGACAGACAGACAGACAGACAGACAGACAGACAGACAGACAGACAGACAGACAGACAGACAGACAGACAGACAGACAGACAGACAGACAGACAGACAGACAGACAGACAGACAGACAGACAGACAGACAGACAGACAGACAGACAGACAGACAGACAGACAGACAGACAGACAGACAGACAGACAGACAGACAGACAGACAGACAGACAGACAGACAGACAGACAGACAGACAGACAGACAGACAGACATATCCGGACAGCTCCTTATATTTTTCTTATGAATACTAACATTACCTGCATTTTGTTTCAGATGTGCAGTGTCAGCGTTACATCCTCATGAGCCGCTCAGGTCTAGAAGAAAGATTCACCGTCCCTTTGTCGTATGGTGGCATCGTCAGTATGGTCGTTATTAATGAATACTCCAAGAACATGTGCGTGCATGGCAAGAACTATGGCTTCAACAAGAACCACGGGCTAGAGATCTACGCCAGGGATGGTTGTCAGGCGGAGTTTGACGTCTGTCAGAGCCCGCAAGACCTCAATCCTCCAAGATCACTCTGGGCTGTTATTTGATTCTGATTACAAGACCCTATTTGAGTCCGAAAAAAAAATATTTTGTTTTATTCTGATTAAAGACATTACCTGAGTCTGGATACGCGATTTTGATTCTGATTGTAATACCGGTCCAAAGACTTGAATTTATTTGATTTTGATTGCAATACCGGTCCAAAAACGCGAATTTATTTGATTCTGATTGCAATACGGGTCCAATGACGCGAATTTATTTGATTTTGATTGCAATACCGGACCAAAAACGCGAATTTATTTGATTCTGATTGCAATACGGGTCCAATGACTCGAATTTATTTGATTTTGATTACAGAACGATATTTGAGTCTCAATAAAAGAAATTTGGGTACATTAATTTTAACTTACCCCATTACGTCACAGTGACGCCACTGGAGACATTGAAATAATTTCCAGGGTGGTAAGGTTGGCTCTTGTTGGCTCCTCCTATAACGTGTGTTTACCGAGCGTTAGCAGTCATATTTGCTGCATCTGGTTGCAGCACTTTTAATCTTTGTTTGCCGCTCGTTGCAGCCATGACTTTTCTACAATTAGTAGCATCTGTACAAGACAAGAAGACCAGCATTGCCTTCCTGCAACAGCATAGCATTCTGCACAGAACGAGACGTTGCAGAAACAACCATTAGATAGATGGTGTATTATCACTGTCGGAAAGACACACGACCGTTTGCCGGTGTCGAAAGTCCACTTGTCACGCGTGGCGAGGAGCAGGGCTAAACTAGATGGCTGGGACTCACGAGCAGCAGCTACCTTATCACTGCAGCTTCCTCTTTTTTATTTGCTCATGAGTCCTAGCCATCTAGTTTAGCTACGCGAGGCACGGGGATACTCTCAGCGGTGGCGGTATAGTCGCCTAAAAGAGGTCCTAAATTTACATGTCAGTGAGGCCCTGGTAGGATATATTTTCGGCCTCGATAATTTGGGACCATTATTCAGAGGATAGCCACACCAAAAAAAATACAATTTAAATTTAATTTGAATTGAAAAAAAAAAAGTTACGTAGGGATTTAAAGCAGCACCTCTCATTCATAAATCGGATATAATATTATCAATATAAACTACGCTACACATTCACATGACAAAAATAATATAAAAACATGACCATCAACAAGCAGCCGACTGCGCACCAACAGATATATCATCATCATCATCCGTTCTCGTTATGCCTAGTGGCACATGAGGCTTCAGAGAGGACTTTCCATGCTTTCCTGTCCTGAGCAATCTTCAGTGCAGTTTTCCATGTTAAAGATGCCGCACTCAGGTCACTTTCCATCGTTCGTCTCCATGTTTTTTTTTTTTGGCGCCCCTGTTTTCTCTTTCCCTCTGGGGTCCATGTGAGAGCTGTTTTGTCGGGTATATCAGGATTCATTCTCATAACGTGGCCAAGCCATTTCGATCTTTTCTTAGTTATCATACTGTCTAAAGTTTCTTGCTTTTTTTACTTGAAGTAGTTTAGTATTTGAGATTGTATCTGGCCAGAAAATTTTTCTAATTCTACGTAGAATGTGTGGTGGAAAGTGGACAGCTTGTGTGCATCCTTTTTGGTCATTCTCCAGCACTCCGCTCCATAAAGAAGAACTGGCAAAACGATGCTCTTGTAGAGTCGGAGTTATGTTCCTCTGCAGTAATTGTTGGATTTCCAGATTTGCCTAATCCTTCCAAAAGCAGCTCTAGCTTTGTTCAGACGTGACTGTATGTGATAGGAGTGCTATATCATCTGCAAAATCAAACATATCATATGTCAAACATATATCAAACAGATATATACCACACCAAAAACAAAACAAAAAACTTAAAAGAGAAACGACAGCATCAGCACACTGGCACCCCTTGAAATATTGAACTGTCAAGTTAACTGTGGAATTACCACGGATTCCCCGTGTTTGGGGTACGTAAAAAATATTGTACCGAAGTTTGATAATGTGCAGTGCGCAGCTCAAAATAAATGCAGCTCAAAAATAGAAAAACTATTTCAAGCAAACTTTCCAATTAAAGATTTCAAAAACTCAAAGCTAAGTATTGGCTTTATGAAAAGTTTACCTGTGTTTATATATTTACATGTATTGTTTTAATATCACTAAGTCTAACTCTCAGTTCGTGGTGATCATAATCATGCCTTTTTGCTTTCGCCTTTAGCGGCGTGAGAGGGAATAGTTTGCAATTCAGTTTCTTGATGAGGAGTACTGACATTTGTGATTCCGTGCATGGTCTGTCAAGTATATTCCATTTCAAAAACATGCGCATCACACAAATGATGCTAAAATCTATAGTTATCGACCATTCGTCACAGTGGGTGATGAGGTCAGCATCACTGCATTCACCCTTGCTTCCAAGAACATTACCCACTAATCTCTTTTCAGAGCCCAAATCCATCTTAAAAATAACGTAATCAGAAGCGACGCAGATTCGAAGCCACCAACTTTGTCCCAGCAGGCCAGTGTGTATCCACTGCGCTATCATGGCTCGTTCTTAGTAACTCTTCTTTTCTGTGTAGTTTTGGGAAAAGGAGAACTCGGTGACGAGGGTCGCACTAAAAAAGTTTGCGTTTAGATTCGGTCATTTGTCTCGCTATTGCAGTTGTTTGGGATACACCGAGGAGTCGTCTCTTGTGCTACGGAGTTTATGCTTTGTACGACGCTTTCGGTAGATGACCTGTCGCTTTATGTAGAGAGACTGAGTCAAACGGATAAACCTCTACGCAATGAAATAGATTTTCTCAACTAAAAGTACATTGTAACATATGCAGTGTGTAGTGACAGCTGTATAATAGAAACGAAGTTTGGAATGTGACAGCTCAATCTTTAGCATATACAATATCATGACTTAAAAGTTGGGAAAAAGAGTTCACTTTCTCATTACTCTATCCTAATTAAATTTTTACAGTTATACAGTTCTCATTCAATGACGCTGACTGAAGAATACAGCCTTAGAAATGAAAGTAAATCACCTTTCCCAGTCAAGAATAAATTCTTGTTCGCTGTTATGGCAGGCGTGATTAACATCAACAGTACCAGCAGGATTCCTTTTGAATTTTCAAATACTGAATTGATAAATTTTACATATCAAGTACATTATGTCAAAACGATCTTCTTTCCCGCCGCTTTTCCTCATCCTCCTCCTCGTCTTCATACCTCCCCGAACCAACAAACCTCTTCCAACTCCAGATAATCTCCTTCTTATCCACCGAATCTTAATCCTCATTTATCATAAACGGAGCACCAGTTAGGTTTTTCTCTCTGTCTAGAATAAAGGTGCCGGTGTCCCACCATAGAATGTCTGAAAAAGCGCTGACCTCAAAATCTCTGCTACAGTAGCGCTGAAAGTTATGATGCCTACAAATGTTGCCCGCACTGCTTACTGCCAGAAAAAAGGCCTTAATTAATGCCATCTAAAGTAACTGCCAAAAAGTGTCGATGAATTCGATGCAAAAGAGCATGAACATCTATTAGAAGAAGTAAGAATAGCAATAAAAATCCCTGAAAAAAGTTAAATCTCCGGGATGTGACGACATACCAGCAGAGTTAATTCAGGCTGGAGAAGAAGCCAGTGTTTTTCTTTATCATGCAATGTGTGTAAAAATTTTGAACAGCGCTAACTGGCTCAACGCGTGAAAAGATCAGTCTATATTCCCGTTCCGAAAACCTCCGATTATGTAGCAATTATCGTACTAAAGCTCTAATCCAGGTTTGAGACGGGATAGAGGAACAAGACGCCATATTCTTTTATATGAGAATCATCCTAGAGAAATGTAGAGTATGCAAGATAGATTTTTACACTTGTTTCATAGACTACAGCAAGGCATTTGATTGTGTGCAACACCATAAACTCTGGCATATAATGAGATGCATGGTTTTCCAAAACATCTTTTTTACCATCAACAACAAGCAGCAGTCAGAGTAGCTGGTGAAATATCAGTGGTTTGAAATGCAGAAAGGGTTGAAACAGCTGCTTTCTTTCTCCGTCCCCTTTTCAACATATATGCTGAAAATGTTATGAGAAAAGCAAATAGCGATGAGCCGTGTGAAAGCTTTGATCCACTAAAAATTAGCGGTAATCGTTTCACAGAACTGATAAATGCAGACGACACAGTTCTCCTTTCCGATAATAGTATACATAGTTTTAGAAAAATTAATTATGGCCGTCAAACAGCACAGCGAAGAAGTTAATCCTTTTCTGAGTTTGAAAAAAAAAAAAGATCTCCTCAGTAAATACAGCACACCAACCGCATATAAAAATCCAAAATAAAGGTTGGGGGGGGGGGAGGGGTAAAATGTCACAGGTTTCTAATACTTGGGCTCTTTGTACGACAATGGAGACTGCTCGAAAGAAGTCAGAAAAAGACTTGTATTAGCAATGAAGAGATTATACAGCATGGAGAACCTATGGCAAAACACCTGTAAATTAGTTAAAGTAAAAGTCTTGAGTTCATGCATTTTTTCCGAGGCAGCTTACGGCTGTGAGTTCTGAACACTCACTCATCCACCGAAGAAAAATAAAGGAGCTTTTTAATTAAAATGTTACAAATATCTTCTAAGAATACTATGGATCAAGAGAAGGAAAAAACATCGACATTCTACACGAGTTGAAAAACAAGAAGAACTGACTCATAAACAGCATTCTGTCCCTAAAGTTTAGGTATTTTGGCCACATAAAATGTCATGGGGCTTGCAAAAGATGGTGATGAAGGGTGAAGTTTGTAAAAATATGAAGCAGGGGTCGACCTCCGCCAAGATGGATACAAGACATTGAAGATGCATTTGCGTTGAATGCACAAGTGGCTGGAGAGTTGACTAGGGAAATGGATTCTTTCAGGCGTGCGTGAAGAGAGCGACGTTCTGTAAATGTATTGCTGGCTGATGGTGAAGTTCGAAAATAAAAACGTAAAGGACCCTTTTCCACGCCTTTAGGCTTATTGGGCATGTAGGGCCAATTGATGCTTGGTGGATGATGTGGTCATCATCATCACGTCAGCTGCCTTTACTTCC